TTCACACCTCGCAAAGTTGCTACCCCTGTATCCCCCCCTTGCGCGATCTTTTTTACCATTCTTCTAATCCCTTCCCACATCTACTTGACGTTCACCTCCAGGCCTCCGCTGGCGTTCTGCACTACTTCGTCCCAAATACACTTTTTCTTCTTTTTCACTAGTCCCTTCACCTGTTTTCTCTTGGCCCTGTACTTTTCCCAACTCTCCTCAGACGCCTCACTCAGGTACTGCTTGAAGACTTCTCTACGTTCTCCTACTTCTTTCAGCTCGTCATCCCACCACTAAACCGATACCCTACATCGTACCACCGTCTTCCCACTACTATCTCTGCCGTTGCGTTCATGATGGACTCCCACCCTTCAATCACCCTGTCCCCTGCTGCTTATACGTCTACCTGTCCGTCTTCGACGCTTCTCAGCAGTTTCCTGAAGGGTTCCACACTACCAGCCAGTCCTTGCTGGAACTCATCCCGTGTCCCCTCGTCTCCCAACGCTCCACTTCCACCGGAACATTTTCCTCGGTTTCTTACTCTTCATCTTCCTAGATCGGTCGATGTTTGCCCATATGAGGAAATGGTCGGTCGAACCTATATCTATCGCACTTACGTGCAGCTCTGGGATCTGTGTGCCCGNTCGACGCTTCTCAGCAGTTTCCTGAAGGGTTCCACACTACCAGCCAGTCCTTGCTGGAACTCATCCCGTGTCCCCTCGTCTCCCAACGCTCCACTTCCACCGGAACATTTTCCTCGGTTTCTTACTCTTCATCTTCCTAGATCGGTCGATGTTTGCCCATATGAGGAAATGGTCGGTCGAACCTATATCTATCGCACTTACGTGCAGCTCTGGGATCTGTGTGCCCGCCCTATCTACCAGGATGTAGTCGAGTATCGAGTATTCATTGCAAACTGCCCGTTGCCTGGTGAACTCCGGCTTATCGCATTCCCTCCTACCGTTTGACACAATCTTCTCCNGAAGTGGTCGGTCGAACCTATATCTATCGCACTTATGTGCAGCTCTGGGATCTGCGTGCTCCCCCTGTCTACCAGGATGTAGTCGAGGATTGAGTATTCATTGCAAACTGCCCGTTGCCTTGTGAACTCCGGCTTATCGCATTCCCTCCTGCCGTTCAACACCATCAGTCCATTGCCTCCCAAGAATTCGAGCATCCTCACTCCGTTGTCATTCACTTTGTCTTCTCCGTGCTGCCCGATCGCCTGTCCTCTACTGGAAGCTTTCCCTACTAGGAGTTGAAACCGGGGGGGACGGGGGGTGTACTCAGAGTCGTGCATGCCGTAGTCGTTGTTTGCGGCCTACGCCACTTATTTATCGGGTGGGACTGTTTTGGTGATGTATTAACTTCACGGGAGGTAGACGACCATCCTTCACACGGACGAAAGAGGGAGTGCTCAAAGAGCGGCTCCCACAGCAAGGAGGGGCCCCGTGAATCATCGCGGTGCCCCCTATCAAACGGTTATCTTACCAGTCTGCGTGACACAAAATC